GGAGCAACGCAGAGGCTTGCAATCCCATTGCCGGTCCCCGGTCCGGTACGGGGGCGACACTGAGGGTTGCGATCCGTTGCCGGACACAGTAAAAAGACAAAAAAAAAAAAAAAAAAAATTTACATATATCTCTTGGCTATGGTACTATCTTTGAATGCATAACTTCTAAAACAATTCTTAAAACAAATAATGATAAATGTGAGGGAGGAAAAGCAGAAAACCAAAAATCACACATTTTTGATTTCTGTATCCACAGGAATTGACATCAACTGATTTGTTTACTTTCTGTAATACTATCTAATATATACCATAGTTACCAGATAAGGCAATGTGTCCAGAAATTCACTTAGTCAAATATTGAGAACCTATTATGTGCCAGACACTGCTCTAGATACGGATATAACAGTAAACGAAGCATTAAAAAAAAATCCTTGCCTTCATTATATAACTACCACATTATATTATTTAAATTGTTATAGTACCTTATCATTATACAGTGAAATTTTATTCTGCAATATTCAAAATCCAAATAAAAAAGCTTTGGTTAACATGCCTTCATAAAGCAATATGATAAAGGTAAGTCTTTTTCAAGTTTACGTCTATTCTAAAAATGAGGTAGTCGACAGCATCTGGTACACAAGCTGTCCTCTGCACTGGTCTCTTTCCTATTAAATTGTCTTTAGGGCCACAAGTCATCCATGTGTTATGTATTCTTTTTTTTTCTCCTCACTAAATAATGTTTCTCCCTTCCATTCTTCACGAATTAAAACCTAGCTCGATTCTCATTTTAGTATGATGGCTTATGCTCCTAATCTGAGTTCCTATTCACTTTTTCTGGACTCTTTCCTTTGCTTGCTCACTAAGAAACTCAATCACCAAAAATTCATTGAACATCAACTGTCTTTAATGGTTCTCATCAAATTAGTTCCTTTATGCGATTACTGTGTCTTCTAAAATTTTAAACAACAGATGCAGAGACCCAACTAGCTTCACCTCACTGTGTGCTGCAGGGCTGGGAATGAACAAAAATGCTCAGCCTAATGTGAAGCCCATTAACCAGTTCATCATTCAGTGATGGCCTTTGTCAGGAAAATGAATTTCGAGTAACTGTATGTAAGATATGTCTTTATTAAAAAAAATAACACCCTGAATTTCCTTTTATTAAATCTTCACATCCTTATTGCCCACATTACGGAAAGGAAGTTTAAGAAGTTCATATAATAGAGCTATCAAGCACTCTAAGTTAGCTTTCACAATAATGGAAAGATACTCAAGTAAAGTTTTCAAAAAAGTGGTAATAAATCCTGGGAAATTTCACAGGGCAAGCAATTTCAGTACTAAACTGGAAGAAGACACTGAAGTGCCAAAATAATTCTTCATTGTGGAATGCCCTATTAATACTGAATTACATTAATCGTTAGTTACTTCATTGTTACCTCAACCCTGGGAGTGCATCCTCCACAAGATTTTGTACATTCTAGGCACATAAAAAGTGCTCATAAATACTGGTTCAAGTACCCTTACCAAGTTCTAAATGTTAACACACAATGCCATCGTTAGAGTGAAACCTTAATATGATAACATTTGAGAATATTACAAAGTATATTATAAAATAATTTTTTCCAATCACAAAAATGTTATTCATGAAATAGTCCATAGCACTGAAAAAAAACAAACATATAGCAAAGTGACTTTTTCTGTTGCTATGAAATCTGTAAACAATGTATATTAAGTAAAACTAAATGACTCAGAGACCAGTCTACCAAATGTACGTGTGTGCATCATGTATACATACATATATTCATTAATGAGTGCCAGAATTGTTTATGAGAACAATTTTCCCACCTATGCAATAAGCTGATTCTTACATAATAAAATGTATTCTTAACAAAATAAGTCCTGACTGATGCAAACACACATTCCCATACCCTTTTCAGATCTAAGCTCTTCGGTGTCCTTTATCAGTTGTTCAATTTCTGACAGTAGTTCCAAGTTCTTCTTCTCTGAATCTTTTAGTTTACTTAAATAAAGGGAAAAAAGGAAAAATGTCATTAATCTTTATTACTGGTTAGTGAGCCATCTTGTATGTAGTCACTTATTTTGTGTAAACGTCAGTCATGCTAACTTAGGAGACTGCAAACTACTGCAGACAGGACAAATACAGCTTGCCACCTACTTTTATGTAAATAAAGTTTTACTAAAACACAGCCAGGTGCACTCATTTAAGTACTGACTAAGGCTGTTGTTGCTCTACAACAGAAGAGCTGAGTAGTTGTGACAGAGGCCCTCAAAGCCTAAAATATTTACTATCTGGTCCTTTATAGAAAAAGTTTGCTGATCCTTGGCTAAATTATTTACAAATGCTATAAAGTCAAAGATTAATTTTAGAATTCTATTAGATTTCATGTTTAGACAATTATGAAAGTGGACCATATACAGGAGTAAGTCTGTAATTTTCAATTTGACTTACATTCCTGATTGATGAACATATGAGTTAACTTGTATGTCCTGGGCATGAAAATAAAAGATCATACTCATTTTAAATTACAACTCAGAGAACAACATTCAATAGCTGTTTATTCTGGGATTAATTCATATCCTCCAGAAAAAGTTTTTTTTTTCCTTTTCAATACCACACAAGCACATTTAAGTAAAGCATACCTAATTTATGTCTGTATTTTTTTTTTAAACAAAAAGTTTATAAACAAGAATTTTATAATCCAACAGGGACTGGATATGCCTTTATTTGATTTAAAACATTAATGACTACAGTTTAACGACTAAGGCTTCACACCATTAAAAACTGAATTTATGAGCCTATATTCCTTCTCACGTTTTTGGAGCTTTGGTATTCTGAGCACGCAGTGGATTTTTATATTTATAGTTTCATTTGTGATGTGACCTTTGTATTGTTCCTCTATACTACTGATATCACCTATACTGACTTATTTTTTAACCATGTTTATATCCAATTCAATAATGATTTTTCATTTTACTATTTATGAAATCAGAGCATAATTTTCTCTACTATTGTGACAAGAATTGAGGGGATGTGTTCATAACCTGTCTCAGAGATGTGGCAAATACTTTTTAAAATACATATAGGAACATGAAAAACAATAATTATAATTAAAAGCTACACCATTATGAAATTCACCATCAATAGAACCTTCACTTGTAAAAGATCTATGGCAGAGGCCACAATTTTCAGATGACTGTATTTTGTTCTGACGATATGTTGCATTTTTATACACAATGACATTCTTGAACATGAAAAATATATAGATTTAATTCAATAAAATTTGAGAGTCAACAAAATTTTACAAATAAAGGGAAAAGTAAATAATGGAATATTACTTAATACTATTAATTCTACTTTATGGTCATGCAAGAGGGAAAACAAGGCTGTATTAAAATACCATTACTACCTACAAGGCTTGAAAGCATCTATTTTCAAATCTTAATAACTTTTTCTGGCGATCACTTTTTGCAAAAAAGTAATAGGTAGAAAATTAAACATGCAACTTCTCTCCAAATAATTTTTGATAAACTTAGAAATTATCACAGTAGGACTATGCTATTCAACCTTACCATTCTGTTATGATGTTAGACGCCTTAACTTTATTCAGTTCTTCTTGGATGGCCTGTTTGGCTCTTATTTCTGCATCCAGAGCTGACTGCAGCTCCAGTCTAGCTGACATATCCAGTTTTGCAAAACGACGCATCTTCCAGGGCATATCCTATGAAATAATATCACTGTGTTTTTAGCTCCATCCTATTTTATTTCTAACATTTAAATTTAGTAATCCAAGTGAATTTGGAAGCTAATGATAAACACTACCTTCTCTAATAACAGAATAGAACAGAAACACTACTTGTGAAAATATATTATTTTTCATTAAACTCAGAAGTAATTGTAAATACTCATATAAATGAGTTCTGTTTTTTAAATGGTTATTTCTAATAACAGCTATCCACACAAATTACAGTTAAATAACTATGTGTTGTTTTCCTAAACTGGAAAAAACCTGAATTAACTGACTTCTCATGAAAAACTTTACAGTAGGCTAAAGCTTAGACAACTGATATAAGTAACCAGATTTGTTACAGTGTTTTTGAGCCTTGTTTTTTCTAATTTGATTAGCCTCCATGCAAAATGGCAGAGCTTACTGTTGCTCGTGTACCCAAGCTGGAATTTCTTAATGCCTCCAATTCTTCAGTCATTTTAGAAGCTAAGGCCTGAAGATACCCTCGCGCATCCTTTTCATCACTGACCCTAGAATACACATGCATAAAGACAGAGAAAAGTACACAAATAAAACAAGCAGAAAAACGTGAGATATATGTCATTTTAAAGTTTCATAAAGAAACAAGTGACAGAAATTTAAAGACGTTCTTAAATAACTTCTTTCAAAAGGTCTACCACAGTACTACTAGAGGTGGGAAGAGGATTTGAACTATTCAGTTATGTCCTAATTAAAGCTAGCAATATTTAGGAAAGTCTGAGTTACTCATATCTGAGAAATTAGTAAAACTTCACCCTTGAACCACAGAGTTAACACTCTTTAAATCTAACGTGTAACACACATACACATATGCACTCACGTGCGAGGCTTTCTAAAGAACACTAAGATTTCTCATTAATTCGATTTTGCCATTTTATCTTGTGAAAACACAACACATCCTTCTTAAAACTGAAGTATATTAAACTTAGAAAGTTTAAAGTAGGATATTCTACCAAAATCACTGTACTGTAATAAAGCTCTTCTGTTTTCTAAAATGATCAATAATATAACAAAGAGAAAAGATTAAAGTTTACTGAAGCCCAGTTTCTACATACTGTCTTAAGGCTATGTAGCTTATAAAACTTATAATTTTAGATAGAAAAATTTTCAGATTATATTCAGTAAGACAAATTCCACATTTTAGAATTTCTCAAGAAAGTTTGCATTTCTTACACCTCCTCCAGAACAAGAGAGGAAGGCAGGAGTAGGGGGTGGATACCTAGCATATGAAAATCTACAAAAAAAGGTCCTATAAGAAGAATGAAAACCATTGGTATATAGAAAGCCATATTTCACAGAGAAAAATATGGAGTTAACATCTGCAATACTCAGAAGTGTATTCCAATATAATTATGGGAAGACAATTTGCCTTTGTGCAGGCTGGCTGTTTTCAAAGAAAATCCAGGTCACTGAAGCCATGACGAAAGGATAGTTCAGGTATTTCAATATCTATCTGTGAAGCATACAGTAGACATGTTTAAATCTTGAGTCTCGCTTTAGCATCTTTTAGAATTTAAACTCTGAGGAGTCAAATTCATACGTATGTATGTATGTAAGTGTATCTTAAAGAGGCCCTTTAAAAGGGGGTCAGTGCTATGGTCTCTCAGATAGGTTGTTTTTTGAGTACAAGCAAAAGAACCTAAAAAGAGAAGAAATAAAACCCTTGTAAAAAGTTGCCCACTTTAGTGACAGTTAATAATTTTAGGCTCTATGCACATATAAATATTTTTATTGACTTCTAAAGAAAAACAGCTGTAGAAATTATTTTTAGAAATATTTTATTTTGTTTTATTTTGAGACCGGCCGCACCGTGCTCAGCCAGTGAGCGGTGACCGGCCATCCCCATATAGGATCCGAACCTGCGGCGGGAGCGCTGCTGCCACGCTGCACTCTCCCGAGTGCACCACGGGCTCGGCCCGAAATATTTTAAATATTTTAAATATTTTTATTTTTGTGTAGTGGGAGATTATTTCCTTCTAAAAGGAGGAGGAATCGGTAAAGGGACACAAAAATCAACTACATTGTATATTGATAAAATGAAATATAAATAAATAAAATTTAATGGATAAATAAATAAATAAAATATTTTAATTTTTGTGTAGTGGGAGACTATTTCCTTCTAAAAGTCTTTTAACTCTGGATACCACAAGTGACTGCAATCTTTTTAATCATCTAATCTATGGTATAATGAATATATGGGATGAAGGAAGATTTTCTTTTTTAGAGTACAAAGAAATATACTTACACAGTAACAAAGAAGAAAACTACATTATCATTTAAGTGGCCAGGCTAACTGGCCTCCACTACTGCTGGTTTAATATCTACCATAGCTTGGAGATCTCACCTTACACACATTTCCAGGAACCTGTGAAGTCCAACACATTTTATTAACTTGGAAAATCAAATAACTTCTTGTAAATCACTTTTATGTTGTCTGAAATTCTGTGTGACCAACTCTTCTTTCTAACTTTGCTTGTTAGCTACATGTTGAATACATGTACATTCCCTTCCACTAATTGTCAACTTCTGATTAAACCTATGTCTATTTTTCTTGGCTACAGAGAATTACTGGCAGGAAGTTTTAAAAAAAAAGAAAAGACCCAGTCAGCTATAAACTCATATCATTTAAGTTCCACCAGATCCTAGGTTTTTGCACAACTCCTTTTCACAATCATTGCTGTTTTTCTATTTCTGACCCTGATCTTCCTCACTTTCCCAGCCCCAGCAATACCTCTCACCCCTTGCTTCTAGGCCATCTGGTTACGTTTCCTGATACTCATTCTCGAGTCAATAGACCTGGTTTCAAATCCTAGCTCTGCTGTTTACCAGCTGTGTGACTTTGGATAAGTCACTTACCCCTTTCACTCTGTTATCTCATCTCTAAAATGTAGTGATAATAATACCTGCCTCATAGGACTGTTGTGATAACTAAATGAGAATACATGTGAATTTTCAGCTTAATGTCTGGAACATAGTATGTTTTAATCAATATGAGCTATTACCACACACAAATAAAGATTAATGAATGAGAAATGTTTGGAATAATGTGAATGGATTTAAATAAAGGTTTCCTTATTAATAAAACATTCCCCTGGTTCTCCGACACAGCTGTTTCCTCCACCTTTCATTATGTAGCTGTCACCATTCTCCTGCTTTCTTTTCTCTTAAAAAGATCTTAACTTTAATGGCCTTATTCACTAAGAATTTAATCCCCAAACTTATATTTCAAATCCTAACATCTATGCCAGCTTTTCAAAAGCATAACAGAAATCTCCACTCAGATGACTCGGGATCACCTCAATCTCACCAACGAGTAAAAGAACAGCTAAAACTGATCATTTCATCTTTTCCAAGGGTTGTTCCCTCTTGATTTTATTTCAATGATACCATCACTTTCTTAGTGTGTCAGAATTTCAGAAGTATTAATTCTTCCTCATCCCTTGCCCTTCTTTTATGATTAGTAATTAAGTCCTATAGATCCTTTCTTCATAATGCCTCCTGCATTTGTTCACTGCTCCCTCCACTCTCCTTCTATTTCATCCTGAACACTACTGTTAAGAGTTATCTTTCTAATACATCATTTAATCAGTGCCATTATCCTCTGCAAAAACCCCCTCCTCCTCCTTATAAATAAGTGAAGTTCAAGTTCTCATCTGGTATTCATGGCAACTGTGTTGCAGTTAGTTTACAACCTTATTTCCTGCTACTCTTTTACATGAATTCTCCAATTTGGTCAAAATAGGTGTAGGACCCTTTATTAAACTCAGTGTTTTCAAAACAAGCACAACATCATTCAACTGATATCCCCATCTCTCTTGGTTACCCAGTCTGAGGTAATTCTCTCTCCTCTATATCATTTTTTAAAAATCTGTATTTATATAATAAGTAATGTAATTTACATTAAAGTCTTCTAACATATCTCCAGCTCTGGTCACATTAGTTTTTAAAATTTAAATGTTAAGTGATAAACTACTTGAAGACAAAGAACTACATTTATAGGCTTTTCTGTCTCCTATTGCAGCAGATGAGTGACTTATTTGTGAGAAGGTACATTTAAAAAATTAATCTTATGGACTAGCTGATTAATCTAACCTGTCTTTGTAATACTACTTCAGAGGGTGGAAGTGAAGTCCTCATAGGAAAAGGAGGAAGGAACATAGTTAGACAGCCATCAGAATTTCCTTCAGATAAGGTTTTTTTACAGTAGTGTTTGTTTTATATTAAAACTGCTCATTTGTCCCATGGAAACATTTAAAATACTGTATATCACAAATTTCCATAATCTTATTTTGGCATTGTTTCATTTTTTTTAATATACCAGACTCAAAAAAGGAAATAGCCTGAGTCTTCTGTCCTTCATAAGTCTGGATATTATATCTGAGAGAGATAACTTTCAAGTGGTGCAAAATTCTGAGAGCAGGGAATGTATATTTTACTTTTTGCCTATTAGGCATTTACTAATTTATCTGACAAATTAGTCCATTTCTAAATTACAGCTTTTACGCAAAGTAACTTCCCTGTCTTTCTGATGTCTTCTGCATATTTTGCTTGAATGTGAAAAGTGTAGAGTGAGTGTCCAAGGCATGATACAAAAATGTTCATCTTCATCCTTTCTATTAAGCCCTTCTACAGAGCACATTTAAAGCTCCCTTCCTTCCTTCCTTTACCAGAACCACTTCCCATTCCAGCTGAACTCATCATGCTGGTCACTGGAAAAGATCAGTGGTCTAGGATCACAGGCTTTGGCCATACCAGTTTTGTTTTCTGTTAAAGTCATTTTCACAGCTCCATCTCAATTATAAATTTGATTACATAATAAAGGAATTGTAAATAATAAGTCATAATTTTGATATTATAAATTTGGCTAAAGATTAAAATGACTTTGCTTCACAAAAGTAGACTTGATGACATGAATGTACGTTAAACATTAACGAGCCAATAACTGTACTGTCTGGAATACAACCAAATTCCCACAGTATGGGCATTTACCTTTATGCACTAAATAAGCACATTCATAAGCCAAAGAGTAGTTAATATAAGAGATCTACAGGGACTGGCTGGTTAGCTCAGTTAGATTGTGGTGTTATAACACCAAGGTCAAGAGGTCAAATCCCCGCACCAGCCAGCTCCCCCCCACACAACAAGAGCTTTACAGTTAAGCCAATATCAAAATACTTGAGTCATTTGGGTAAAATTACTTGAAAATAAAGTGTTTATTCACTTTTGATTTTAGCTAAGAAGGAGGCTATTGATCTGCTAAAAGTAAAGAAAATGGAAAATGAACCAAAATATAATCACAGAAAATTATAATTCCCAACTAATGACTGGTCTATAGATATGTGAAGAAACTAGTGATTTCGATATAAATTAAACACCCATCATGTGGCAAAAAGGGTAACAAATTTAAATATAAAAAGTTAAGCTACATATTTTTTTTTTTTTTTTGTCTTTTGTCTTTTTTCCGTGTCCGGCAACGGATCGCAACC